ATATATATATATTTAATATCTTACACACCCCTTAGTTAGAATTTTCTGGCATTAATTTTAAATTAAATGAGCTCTCCTGTTTGTATGACCATTTATTGTTTATAATGTACCTGGGCAGATTATCTTCCTCATGTGGCTAACTTCTCCTTTTTTTGGTGTTTTGCTTAACTTTTTTTTTTACGACTTTAATGAAAGTTTAAAAGCGAATTGGCTTTTCTTTCAGCAATTCATATACATTATGCCTTGTGCCATTGATTACAATACCCATGTTGTAACAGCACTCTTCCCTGGGTTTCCTGTTTACATTCTTCCTGCCTTCTCAACTTTATTTCTGGACATATGCTGCCTGTTTGAACTTGTATGGTAGATTTTTCTAAGAAATGCCTTCCTGTTTGGTATTATTGAACAACTTATAGCTGAGCTTGGAGATCATTTTCATTCCATGCTTATAAGCTGATTAAGAACCACGGGCTTAAGGGTTCTACCAGTCTCTATTACACCAGCAAGCCTGGTCCTTGTTTATGATTTTTGGTTCTGTTTTTCGTTTTCTTCCTACTCTATGAGAAATCTTCTATCATGATCCCTTTCAAAGCAGTCAGAAATGGCAGTTGGGCATTAACTAGCTCGTCTGGTTTCTGGGCTGTGGACAATGAAGTTCACATGGTACATTAGTCCTCTGGACTAATAATCTTTGTTTTTTTCTTCCCTCTTCTTTGTTCCATCTGACCTTTTCCACTTCTGGTCTTATTTTTATTTAAGTAATATCTGCACTTGATTAAATCAAAGAACATTATTGTTTTATTTTTAAAAACTCATGCCTTTTGTATACTGTGTCTATTTCCTAGAGAGAGCCACTTTCAACTCTTTCTGTGGTGTATCTGTTTTTAAATACCATAATATACAGAAAGCAGGGAATACCAGAAGAATGTCTGTCTGTGTTTCATTGATTATGCAAAGGTGTTTGACTGTGTGGATCATAACAAACTGTGGCTGACTCTGAGAAGAATGGGAATCCCAGAACATTTAATCATGCTAGTGCGGAACCTATACTTGGACCAAGAGGCAGTTGTCAGAACAGAGCAGGGTAACACTGCATGGTTCAAAATTGGGAAGGGTGTACGTGAGGGATGTGTCCTGTCTCCATACCTTTTCAACCTGTGTGCAGAGCAGATTATCCGGGAAGCTGGGATCTATGAGGAG